AAAAGGGTCCTTTCTGACTTCAGTATTCCCTACTTAATCGTATACTACATGCATTTTCCCATAAGAAATAAAAGTACGGTGATTAACCTGATCCCATGAAAATTAATCCTATTGTCATTGGCATATTATACAATGACGGGTTTGTATGGCATAATGAATATACTGTTCGATACTTAAATAGATCAATACAAAAGCAATTGGATGAAGTAAATGAACATTTGTCTCAGCTTATCTTCCTGAGAAAAGTCGATTGTCTAGAATGGTACTGAGAATGGTCGAGGAGCAGATGATATTGTTTGAAAAGGAGAATCCCAGTGCAAATAGCACTTTTAGGAGTCCAAAACTCTTACACTCTCTCTCTCTCTCTCTCTCTCTCTCTCTCTCTCTCTCTCTCTCTCTCTCTCTCTCTCTCTCTCTCTCTCTCTCTCTCTCTCTCTCTCTCTCTCTCTCTCTCTCTGTCTCTCTCTCTCTGTCTCTCTCTCTCTCTACCTCTCTCTCTCACTCTCTATCTCACTGTCTATCTCTGTCTCTGTCTCTCTCTCTCTCTCTCGTGCGCGCTCGCTCTTTACTTCTCTCTCACTCCCCCTATCTCGATACTGATATATATTTATATCATCGTCGCCATCATCAGTCAGTCACGGTGTCCAATATTTATATCTAATCCGTACATACGTTCTGCAATATTTGTGTCTCTAACTCAGTGTTCTTCAACATATGGATGAAAGGAACAGGTGCGCGGCCAGAAATGTCTGCCTCACCATGTAACATTCCACAATAGTTGTTTTTCTCTTCCATGATTGTAGTCTATAGGATTGACCACATCCAATGATGGGAATTAAACAAGTACAAATCCCCTTCCTCCCATTAGACCTGGTTGAGGCTCATCAGATTTCAATTTTATTAAAGAATCTGCAAAAAGAACTTCGCTCCTGCCTTTTTATCGGGATGTTTCGGAAATACGTCACTGTCTGGGTTTTCTAGATAACGATATTACGGTATGTTTAGGCGTTACTGGTGCGATGCTTCTCTGCAAAATCATTGACATCTTTCACTAGCTTTGTCTCGAGA